TGCCTGTAACACAATAGATATTTAATTAGTTCATGACTGAATTAAATTAAAGTGTTTACTCATCTTTTTCTTGTATCCTTAAATTTGATTTTCATTCTTTTTTTACTATTACAGCAAAGCGTAGAAGGTTTTCCTCAAAACCAGTTGTACTCACAGAAGCCCAGAAACAGCTTATGATATGCCACCTACCTCAGGTTCTCAGACTACACCTCAAACGATTCAGGTTAGTAGTAGTAGTATTAGCAGTTGCCAACTATACACTTCTAACATGATCATTTCTTGTGCTTATAATGCCTCAAAACTTAAGGAGCACATGTGATGAACTAACTTTAATACCGTTATACTTGGCTAGTAGATGACTTACATTTGCTTCCCCCCGCCGACCCCAACAGCAGAGCATTGCTTTTTTGTTTGTTTTGTTTTGTTTTTAAGGAAAAAACAACAGATACTATCCATATTTAATAAGTAACCATCTGATTAGCTTCCCTCGTAGAATGCATTGCTGATCAGCAGATCCCTCACATTTCAGTCTGCTGGGTGATATTATTGTCTTTGTAAATTTAATTCTGCTTATAGTGTTTAATATTCAGCATATTTAAGGTATAAAAATTTTTAATTTAATTTAGAACTTAAAACTATTTGACCCAGTTGCTTTGTTCTTGGAAAATATTTTATCTAAGTTGCAGCAGTTCAAAGCAATTTTTTCAAAACCCCAAAACTAGTCTTCTGAAATATATTTAGGTGAATTAATTGGCAAACTGATTGACCAAAGTGAATGGTTTCATACTTTGCATGAACGTGTTAATCTGAGGGGCTGTTGTTCTCTTAAGGAATGAGATACACTGCAGAAGTTACTTATGTGCTATGATTTGAAAACTATTAAGATCATGTTTCTCATACATATTAGTCGTTGCTATTTGTCTTAATAATTAAAACTGTATGTTTTTAAAAATTCAAGCATTACAGAAAGTAAAGTAGTGGTACCTCTTTCCTCTGAGTCCCACTTCCCAGAGATATTGTTAAGTTCATCATTCAGTTATTCACTTTAGCTGTTACAGATACGATCTGCAAATATCATATGTATACTTTTTAATGTAAAATGTTCCACATTTCTTTGAGGAATATAAAGTGGGATTCCTTTCTTAAGATTATAGTCAGGCATGTATAGAAGTTGTGGTGAAGTGGAAAAACTAAGTATCATAAACTGAATAAAAATATCTATCAGAGACTTGGAAGAGGCAGTTACCTGATGTCTAAAACTTTCCCAAAGCCTCTCTAATGGCACATGGGGCTCTAGATCATTCAAGTCTCAGTTCATATGTCATATCTTTAGAGAGGACTTTGACCGTCCTGTTTTAAAGTAGTACCACCCATCACATTATCCTATTTTGCTTACTGGCAAAAACTACTATCTGCAATTAAATAGCTCATTTACTTATTTCTCTCCTCTTGCCAATAGAACAGAAGGTCAGTAATGACTTAGCTGTTTCATCCTTGTATCCCAAGGCCTAGAACCATGCTCCACATGGTAGATGCCATAAACTATTTATTAGGTGAATGAATGGAGCGTATATTGAAGGAGGAGCATTTAGCCTAAGGGAGCAATATGAACAAAGGTATGGAAGAAGGAGTAGGATAGAGCGTACACCAGAAGGTTTAGTGAAACGTCAGGTGAGTCCTGCCATTGTGTATAAAATTAAGTAACACGAAACAGGAAGATTAGTTAGGTTAAGAGTAACAAAGGCCATGGAGATTGGAGAGATGAGTACATATATAAGATTTTACAAAGATAGAATTGAAAGGGCTTAAATTTTTGTTTTCGTTACCTAAACTGGTACTTAATTGGCTACTATAAACTATTGAAGAACCTCCTGTTCTTCATAGTTCCTACTTTAATTCCATCATAAGTGTTAACTTTGATCTGGCATTTGGAGCTCTCCTTAATTCAAAGCTGTTTGACTCTATCTCCTTCCATTTTCTGCCCAAAATATTTTTAACTCTTTGTGCCATTTCTGATTCCAGAAATTTTGTTTATGCTTCCTTTACCTCATTTATCTTTCTCCTTTCTCTTCATATGTTAAAACATACTACTGTATTTGTCAGAATATAAGACATATAGCATGTATAAAAGATAAATCCCAATTTTTTTTTTCTTTGAGATGGGGTCTTGCTAAGTTGCCCAGGCAGTACTCCCAGGAGATTACTCAAGGGATTTCCTACCTCAGCCTCGCAAGTAGCTGGGACTATAGGGCACTGATCTGCCTGGCTATAAATCCCCATTTTTAAAGGACTTGTTTTTTTGGATGGGAGTCCTTTTCTCTAAGTGTGTATTAGGCATGATTTTAAAGTGGCTTTATAGAGAAAAACATTATTTTATTCCTGTAGCTTACAATTAACCACTTTTTTAAAGCAAATATATAGCTAAAAAACTGTTATAATTACTTTAGGCAATTATACTTGTATGTGGTATTAGTAAGCAACAAAACCCAGCAAATGTATTAGTAAATGAAGTCCCACACCTTATAGGTGATATTATAAAAGCAAATGCCAATACCGTACTTGAGTATTAAGGGTAAAATATAAAATAAATTGGAATGATTTTCTATACAGACAGTACAAATAAAAAGCTAATATGGAAAAACTAATTGGAATGAATTACCAAGTAGCCAGATACATAGAGAAAAAGCATCCAACAAAATAACAAAAGTAGTGTGTATCTCCCATCAGTACAGAGCCAATAATAAGGGAAAAAATTAATCCTAATAGAAGTTTACATTTAATTATAGTATATACTTAGCTATATAAGCAGAAAAGTTTGACCA